AATTGAGCAAGGATCTTCTTACTGAAAAAAAGGCAATTTTAAAGTGGCAGCCCCCTCCACCCTCCCACCCACTCTCTCCACCTTTCCACCCACCACCACTCTTGACTTTGAAGGAGCAATACATTTGGATTTTCATATACTGGTTAATTATAGCATACAGACTTCTTAATCACTATCTTTACCCAATGTGTTCTTTTATCTCTGTAAATGGTTTAATGTGATAATCATGCTTCTAGTCAAAACATCTCTATTTGGCAGTCAGAGCTCACCCAGAAGGAGACTTGGATTCAGAGGTGACCTGGTAGCAACTTCAAATTTCTAACAAGTAAATTAAAATAAAAACAAGTATCAAAAATATAAACAGAGAGCTAGTTAAGATAGTGAATATATGTAACTTTCTTACCTCTATACCTGTCTGTAGAAAATTAGGTTAAACATTTTTGAACACAAGAGGAATCTCATAATATGTGTCATTGTATTTAATATATAATTATACATATAAATCTACTTCTATAAACCTGATATCAAGCTCAAAACTGTCTTATAATTTTGTGCTATACTCAAACACTTGCAAAATTAGTGTCATTTCCATTATACAAAGCAGGAAAGTAAAAGTTGTTCTCCAGATGGCTGTCCAATCTCACTTTGACATTTCCACCTTCCTCAGTCTAACCCCATCCAATATCTGTGCTGTTATTTTTTATTCTCCTAAGCCACAGCTGCCCCTTCCCTATTAAATAATGTTCAATGGCTCACCATTGCCTACCACATAAAGTCCATGTTCTTCTTTCTACATGTTCAAGATCTGTCCTCCTGGCCCTTTCCACCACCCCAAAATTTTGCTCGAACTCCCTTTCCTGATTTACCTCCTACCCATAGATCACACACTTAAATCAAACCAAAGTTATTGTATGCATTGCATTGTACTTTTCATTGCAAAATTTTTCTAGACCATTTACTCTAATTGGTCCTATTATTCTATTTCCTTACTTTTAAAGCCCAATTCAAATATCTCCTTGTGAAATTTTCTCTCATTTCTAAATGCCTAAGAAGTTAGTGCACACCTTCCTGGGATCAGAGAATGAGAAATGGAGAGAATAGCCTGAAGTCTGTCTCCCAGTCTGATCCCAGTTGGTGTTTGGACTCTACAAAGAAAGGAGATGTTGGGCAAAAGTTAGTAGTCATTTTAACAAGAGAATACTTAAGAGACATAAAGCATAAGCAGTCTTGGATTCATTCTCCTATATCAGAGCATAAAGCAAAGGCAGAATGAGAGTAAGATGTTACCTCTAAACACGTGCAGACTACTGTCTAGTTCTCCTCCCTTCCAGCTGCAGTGAGCCTGTTGGAACCCACAGAGCCAGAGAGAGTAGCAAAGGATTATGTGGGAGTGACCTTGTTTTTGAGCTCATATGAATTCTCAGAATCTTCAGGAATCCCCAGAAATATTTGAAGGACACTGTACATGGCTGTTATGATTTAGATATAATGTGTCTCTCAAAAGCTCCAGCCTTAATGCAAGAACATTCAAAGGTAAACTGATTGGATTATGAGAGCTGTAACCTACTCAGTCCATCCTGGTTCGAACGGACTAATTGGGTGGTAACTGTAGAGGGGCGGAACATGGCTGGAAGAAGTAGGTGTCTGGGAGCATGTTCTGGAAGGGTCCGTCTTCCCCACTTCCCCTCTCTCTCTCTCTGCTTCCTGGCCACCATGGAACAGTGCTCCTCCACCACCTGCTTCCACCATGATGTGGAAACTATGTGCTAACTCCATAGTTCTGGGCCTTACCTCTGACCCAGAGCAAGGGAGTTAGCACACCATGGACTGAACCTCTGAAACCATGAGCCTAAATAAACTTTTCTTCCTCTAAGTTGTTCTTTTTGAGTATTTTGGTCACAGCAATGAAAAACTGACTAATACAATGGGCAAGACCCTGTGTAAGCAACCTGTGACAAAAACCTATAGAATCTGAATTACTACTATTGATATCATTTCATTTATGATTGATATCATTTCATTTATGTGCACAGGCAGTTAAGACCTGGAAAAACATGGGTTATATTGACACTCACTTATAATTTGACATGGTTTAAAACTTATCTCCACATAAGAACTGATCTGATCACTGTAACACACACATGAGGAGGTATTATTACCACCAGGTTTTCCCCATAGTGCTTATTGTGGAGAGAGTCCAGAACTTGTTAGCAGACCTAAATTTTGGCTCTTACTTTTTTGCATATGGTTGGGGACCCTGGATAAATCCCAGCTTTTTTGAGCTTCAATTCCTCACTTGAAGAACAGGAATAATGATCCCTTCTAGAAGGGGATTCCATAAGACTCTGAGATGATGAAGGAATCCTGTTCAAGTATGAGAAATAATTATGGCAGGTGACTTTCTTGCATTACGTTCATTTTCTGCCTTGACTCAATAGACTGAAAATAATGAAAGGGTCAACCATGGCTTTCTGGTCTTGACAGAGTATGTTCACAGTATGATGGTGTGGAATACTGCAGAGGTAGTGAGCTGTCCATCTCTAGGATGAGCCTGGTGGGGACGATTCAAATGGTAGAAAGTCTTGGACTTGACACTGGTCCTCAGAACCTAAGATTATTTATTAAGTCAGTCAGGTACAAAACAGATTCAGATATAACGGGTCAAATCAAGCTTCCCAGGAACAAAATACATGGGTAAAATGGACAGAATATTAACTATCAGGATGAAAAAGTTGAAATCAATGTGTTGAAAGTGAAGGTTTCCATTATACTTCAAACATTAAAGTTCGAACATTAAACTGGAAAGAGGTTTCATGTAAAATATTTGTTGAATTGGATCAAAGCAAATTTTATTCTAGAAGTTCAAAAGTTAAAAAAAAAAAAAAAGGAA